CTTTAAATGTACCTGATAAACATGGGTTACATAGTGTATAACTGGAAATGTTCATTGTGGAGTACAAAATTAAACAGCTTATCTGTAACCACGGTCGTTTTTTTATGTCTGGATGAGACAGTGGTAAACCATATGCATGTGTTTTTTTTAAATAAGACCCTTCAATTTCATATTGCTGCGTGGATATTGTTGATGTGCACTGTCATTTTTAAGAACATTTCTATCAAAATGCCTGCAGTAGTTTGTATCTTAAATAAAAAGGTGATTTTTTTTCCCCCTCAATTAAAGTTTTAAGTGGGATGACTCGGTCTATAGCTAAGCAAAATTCTATGATCAACAAAAACATATTGCCTATAAGAATAGTTTGCCAGCACTTATAGAATTGAAAGCATTATCTGCATAAACAGCATATGTGCTGTGAAATTACGGTACTTTCATACAAAGTAAGAGTTTTTTTCTGCACATGCACCAGTCAAGTGACTTCTTTTCACATTCATCTAGTCCTCCACAAGCCCACTTTCATAACTTACATGAGAAGCATTCTCAGCCCTCAACTCCTAGAGGCTTGTGAGTGACTCAATGACAATAACAAAGGAAGAATCTACTAAGGTCATTCCCCACCCATATTAACATCATATTTACCACCCTCTGGATCTTTGCCACTCCAAGGCAGTCCATTGCAGAGTGTTTAACTCATGTGCAGTACCTCAAATGTTAGCACGCGTTGTGTTAGTGCAGCTGATTGGTTTGCATAGGTTGCCTAACACACCACAATGGACCAAATATCCAAATTAAAGTTTTCACTAGCACAGTGCAACGCACAGTTTGTTAGGGTCCTGCAGTGTACCGACTCGTACAATGTGACCTATGAAGAGAACTTGTCACTTTTCCCTAAGAGGCACAAGTGCACACCTGTGTACTGTATATGCTTGGCAGTACCTGCACATTGAAGTACAAGGTACCCCCAAAGAAAACTGATGAAATACCCTTATCTTCCAGGTATGGAGGAGCATACGACCCCCCGGATGCAGTGCTCTGGTCCAACAGCTGTTTGCTAGACCCAAACATTGTGATGTGGGGAAGGGGAGAGGCCAATTCCACCCCCATTTTTATTATTATTTTATTTTTTTGACATATAGCTTTTTTTCAGATTCTTTAAGGTGGACAGAAAACAAACAGGGTATTTTTTGTTTTTGTTCTTGCAAAGATCATCACTGACATAATATAAATGCTGAGCACAGTACTGATGCCCCCCGGTGACAGCTCCATGGTGCCCTGCACTCACAGGAGGTGTGACTTGGCTTGGAAGTAGACCTGCACGGGACCATAGAGCTAGTGGTTCTACAGGGGACAGTGCTGAAGTAGAAGTGAGTACTGCAGTGAGACCCATGCTTCTCTTTAAAATTATTTTCAGTAATAAATATGAATTTAGATGACTACTAATAAAAAAATTAAATAAAAAACAGATAAAAAGAGTAGGATTTTCTTGATCTAAATGTTGTATATAAAATCATGTTGGTAAATATAAATAAATAAAATAATTCAAGGGTTTAAAAGCAGCACACGTAATGCGCTATGGTGAAACAAGAGGACAGTAGTGGCTTGCTGTCTATGCAAGTGAATTTTATTGCACTATATGAAACTCAATACACACAGCATGTCACATGACATTTACATCACCTGAATATTGCAGGATATAGGATTGCATTGATGTAATCAGATTCTTAAACATGTTAGCAGATATGACAGTGTACATACAAAACTATACGGAACTATGCCACAGGACACAGGACATTTACATTCACCAAGTATCATTGGATATAGGGAGAAGTCCATGTAACCAGATAAAGATTATCAGACATATCAAAAGGCATAACAGTGTACAAAGAATATTTTGAGAACTAAGGAAACAAATTGTATAACAGTAAATGTAACTGGAGTGGTATTTGTGGTTCGGACAATACAAAAAACAAAACCTACAAAGAACACAATTTGAGGTTTGTTGCCAATTATTGCTAATACACTATATTGCCAAAAGTATTGGGACTAGAGATGGGCAAAACGGTTCATCTGCATGAGCGCTCCTCAGCGGATCGCTCACTGAAAAGATCTGGATCTTTTAAATGGCTCATGGTTCACTAAACGGCTCTTTTTACTATAGGAGAGGAAATGAGACGGGGGTGAATTTTGAGGGAGGGAATGGTAGTTATTTTAAAAGTAAAACCGGCTCTTATGTTTAAACGTTGTCATCCGATCTCTTGACTATCTGGAATTATGTTGTATGACTTCTTGTTGTTAAACTGCTCTTTTACCATTAATGCATTTGCTGGGACTTGTAGTCCTACATAGTTGGAGCTATTCTGCATTGCTGTATAATCATCATACACCAATGCAGAATACCACTAGCTATGCGGGACTGCAAGTCCCAGCAATGCATTATAATAAAAGTCGGATTCAAAAAAGCGAAAGAAGAACCAAATGAAAATGACTCCTGAGACTGTCTGACTCTTCCAGTTCCGTCTCTGTTGCTTACAGATCCGTCTGAGACGTCTCTGTGAGTTCACAGATGTGATGTGATTGGTTGCAGGGGTGGGATGGGCGGGGCTGGCAGAAGCCTGGCTCTCTAAGATCATATTATTATATAGCTGCCACTTACAAGAGACGCCGAGAGCCGTCACGGTCACGCTCTTCTCTGCTTCTACTACATTCCATCCACACTCCGCACAGAGCACAACAGACCAGAAGAACCGGCGCTCATTTTTACTGAGCCATGGCTCGTTCGTTCTTCTGAGGGAACCGCTCAATAGAGCCGGATCACCACCTGAAGATTTAAAAGGAAGAGCAGCAAAGAGAAGGGAAACAACCATGGATTACAGTAAGGCACACATTACAGTATTGGTTTATGTTAAAAAAATCTGAGGGTTTAATGTCACTTTAAGAGTTCCCTTTATTGGAACTAAGGGGCCAAGCCCAACCCCTGAAAATCAACCCCCCACTATAATCCCCCCTCCACCAAACTTTACACTTGGCACAATGCAGTCAGGCAAGTACCGTTCTCCTGGCAACCGCCAAACCCAGACACGTCCATCGGATTGCCAGACAGAGAAGCGTGATTCATCACTCCAGAGAATAAGTGCTATCCTTGTCGCACTCCTTACCGATATCTCCCTTGTAGTGGGGGGTGCTCGCAGTAACCGCGGATGGCGCCGCGAATGTCAGCAATTGTAGAAATGTCACCAGCACTCCAGTCCTTTTAAGATAGCAAAAGCTTCATTTATTGACGTTTTTTGTCATATGACCAAACAAGTGCTTTCGGGACCGCACAGGGTCCCTTCATCAGGCTTTAGCATTGACAATTGTACAGTGATCACATCTAGGTATAAATAGACAGACATTTGCATAAAACACCAATAAACACAATTTATGCAACTGTCTGTCTATTTATACCTAGATGTGATCACTGTACAATTGTCAATGCTAAAGCCTGCTGAAGGGACCTTGTGCGGTCCCGAAAGCGCTTGTTTGGTCATATGACAAAAAACTTCAATAAATGAAGCTTTTGCTATCTTAAAAGGATTGGTGTGCTGGTGACATTTCTACAATTCATCACTCCAGAGAACACTTCTCCACTTCTCTAGAGTCCAGTGGCGGCGTGCTTTACACCACTGCAACCCACGCTTTGCATTGCACTTGGTCATGTATGGCCTGGATGCAGCTGCTCGGCCATTGAAACCCTTTCCATTAAACTCTCTACGCACTGTTGTTGTGCCAATTTGAAGGCCACATGAAGTTTGGAGGTCTCTAGCTAGTGACTCGGCAGACAGTTGGCGACTTCTGCGCAATGTGCGCTTCAGCATGTGCTGACCCCGCTCTGTCATATTACGTGGCCTACCACTTTGTGGCTGAGTTGCTGTTGTTCCCAGTTGCTTCCACTTTGTTATAATACCACTAACAGTTGACCGTGGAATATTTAGTAGCAAAGAAATTTCACAGATGGACTTATTGCACAGGTGGCAACCTATCACGGCACCCCGCTTTAATTCACTGAGCTCCTGAGAGCGACTCATTATTTCACAAATGTTTGTAGAAGCAGTTTGCATGCCTAGGTGCTTGATTTTATACACCCGTGGCCATGGAGGTGTTTGGAACAGCTGAATCCAATGATTTGGAGGGGTGTCCCAATACTTTTGGCAATATAGTGTATGGCCAATTGCGACTATTTAAGGACAACAAACATGCAATCGTGACAATATAAGGACAACAAACAGGAAATCATGACAATATGGGGACAACAAATGGGCAATCATGACAATATGGGGACAACAAATGGGCAATCGTGACAATATGGGGACATTAAATAAGCAATAGTAACAATATGTGGACAATAGGGACACTATGAAGATAACAAACAGGCAATTGTGACAATATATAGCCAACAATTCCTCCTCCATTCCCCTCAAGCAAAATCTCCTCCCTCATCCCTTTTCCCCAGCAAGTAAAATCCCCCTCTTCCAGGAACATTCACCCCTCCCA